AGCTGTGGTGGGTGAATCACTCCTTGGAAGGAACTGTTTTGTTCCATTGACTGGATGACAGCGTGGGGTGATTGCTTCTTACTTAGGAGTGCAAATTAGCTGCCTAAAGGTGGTGGGATGAATTTGTATCTCCGTCTCTCATGACCCATTCTTTTTCTCCAATCCAACATTAAAAAATGCTCACCAGGGTTAATTACTCATTATGAGGCCCTTCTATACTGCATAGGACAGGATTTACTATTGCATCAAATTCTGTAAGTTTAATGACTCATGAAAAGTAATGCCAGTCCTTTGGATATTTAGACAGAGGGAAAAATTGACAACACAGTGCAATTTCGCCCTTTATGTGAATTTGGCAAAGGCCAGGCATTCTGCAGTTTGCTCCAATGTTCCACTTGAAAACGACTGTTTTCAGGTAGGGGAAGGAAGAAAAAAAAAAAAAAAAGAAAAACAGTTGGAGAAGAATAACACTAAAAGGCTTAAAGTACATAAGCATATTTTGTAAAATCTTCTGATTGTTTTCGCTCTGACAGCTGATGGCCAGCCCCTCTACTGAGGTACATCAGTTCGGTGCATCAGAGTCCAGTAAAAATGTGGCAGTGAATTATAATCAAGGTCTGCCCCTGTGATAATTCTGATAGTTTTGTACCTGAGTGGTGGCAGTTCTGGCAACGTGGAGCCCTTGAGCTCACCTTGCTGGCTTGAAAAACAGATTGTATTCGTGTTTTGGCCACTAGGCGTCAGAGAACTCATTGTAAATGAAACACATTCTGCTATGGGCCTGAGCTCCACGCAAGCCTCAGTAGTTATTGCCGTTACTGATAAACGGCGATTTGAGAGGATAACGCATCTTCTGGGGTTTTAGAAGACAATTTCCTTCACTGTATTCAAAAAAAGCAGATGGGTTCTGCTGAGTGGCAGTCAGCGTAGAGCTTCTCAGGAGTCCCAGATGGCTTATTTTGCAGGGTGGAGTTCCAGGCATTCTCACAACAATAGGAATTGGCTAGTTAAAGCTCTTCTGGTTTTTCCTTTTTTTGTTGCACAGTTCCTTCCAGCGTGACTGGAGTAACAGTAAATAACTCAGGTCGCAGTGACTACCTCAGTGTTTCTTGGCTGCCAGCTTCTGGAGATGTAGACAGTTATTTGGTAACACTCTCTCATGATGACCAGATTGTTCAGACTCTCACCATTTCCAAATCCTTCAGTGAATGCTCCTTCAGCAGCCTTACTCCTGGAACACTTTACAATGTGATGATAACCACGAAGAGTGGGAAGTATGAAAATTATTCCTCCAGCCAGGAACGAACAGGTAAAGAGAGCCTCTGAGCAAATCCTGTCACCATAACCACTTTGTATAGCCATCATCAGTGATCTATCAATATCTCACCAAACTGGGATGGGCGAGTAGGGGTTAGAGGGTCAAACCATAACATTAAAGCTCTACAGGCTTAATTTTATTCTTATGCTCCTACTGCTGCTTTATGTCATACAAAATTAATTTGGCATGAATAAAAGTCATGTGTCAGTCGTTGTGAGTGAACAGAAATGATGTATCAGGTTTGGCTCAAATGCGTTTTCCTGCCCTTAACCCCTCTACTTGGCTCTTCAAGTATATCCTGCAGAGCATCCCCCGAAAAAGTTATGCAAACACTGAAAGAATGGGATAGGATAGGCTAACTACTAAAGTCTTAGTAAGGTGTCACATGAATGAGCAACACTCATGTCTGTGGTTTTGGTCATGCAATGTTCAAGGAGATTGTAACAGAAATAGACACATTTCAGAGAAGGGTGGCAACAATGATGAAAAACTTTTTAAAACTTCCTCAGAGACTGAAAACACTGAGACTTTACAGTTGACAAACCAGCAGAATGAAAGAAGGATGGTAGGGGGTGTTAAAATGACAGAGAGTATCAAGTTAGTACAGTTTTAGTCTTCTCACGATGTAAGTGAAAATCCAAGGGACAGCACTGAAATGAGGAGAAGCAAATTCAGGATTAGTGTGAACCTGTAGAACTCACTGCTATAAGCAAAACTGACCAAGTTCCGAAAGACCAAAAATTGGAAAGATAAACCATTGTCATGTGACATAAAGCAACCTGGAATCTGCAGTTACTATTTTAGAGGGTAGGGTATTGCTTAAATCCACATTGTGGTCTTTTTGCAGCTTCCTTAGGAAAGTCTGGTAATTACCACAAATATAGTCCACTATGGCAACACCTGTTACTTCAGGAAGTTACTGCTTTCGGAATCTTTAATTGTGTTTTTTCTTTCAGTCCCTTCAAGTGTTCAGGGACTTACTGTCAGCAATTCAGCCAGAAGTGACTACTTGAAGGTGTCCTGGTTACATGCCTCTGGATATTTTGATAATTATGAAGTGATCATCAAGAACAACAACGATTTCATCCAAACAAAAAGCATCCCAAAGGATGAAAATGAATGTGTCTTCACTAATCTGGTCCCAGGGAGGCAGTACAGTGTCACAGTCAGCACAAGGAGTGGGAAATACGAAACTAGTGAAAGGGTCTACGGCAGAACAAGTAAGTAAAGACCCTGGACACATCCTGAGACACACCAGGATTTTTTTTTCTATTTACCATACCTAGGCTCAAAAATCTCATATGATTTTCACATAGAGCATTAAGTGTGACTCTTTGAATGTGTGTCATTCCAAATACAGAAAGCAGTATTTATGACCAATGTTGAAGTTACAGATGTATAGAAAGAAGAGACCTGCGTTGTGAACTTGGAAGGCAAATCTTGAAATATGGGAAACTGAAAAACAGTTGTACAGATTTCCACATAAGCTTAGTATTTATGCTTAATCTATGCCAGAATGTACAAGACAGTTTTTTCTGGTCATGGAAATGTATGAGGAAGAAGACAGGCTAGACCTCACTCTACTCAAATTACCCCAAAAACTGGAGTTGGAGAGCATGGGGCAAGAGCGGTGAGTTGACTCATTGTGAGCCAGCAGGGATCTGGATGCCATCTGCCTGTCTTTGCCTACTGCTACATGTAAGCTAATGAGCCATGCTAAGAAACCGAGTTTATTAACACAGATGTAGCAGTGGGCAAAAATATCTGACCTGTATCTGGCAGGAGTTAGGAATGCGCCGCGTGGTGCTGCGTCCCATAGACAGATTGCCTCAGGTCTCCACTAGCTCAGGCCTCTTTGCACCACATTTGTTCATGCAGGTCCTACTCACTTTTTGTTGGCTATGCAAACTCCCTGCAGGCTCTGTTACTATTCTTTTATTATTTTTATGCTGATAGATTGTGGACTCCCTGTTCTGAAATGGGACCTTTCAGCGTTACATACGGTGCCAACCACAAAGAGCAAATAAGTGCAGTCTACTGCTTTTCCTAGGGAACTGAATGAAAAGTTTTAGCTCAGGAGCATGGCTTCAGAGGTGTTATTTTTTTTGCTGTGATCTGGTAATAAGTACTGAGAAGTTTCCTATCTTTCTTCTCTCTTCTTCAGTGCCGGAGTCAGTGAAGGAACTGACTCTTAGTAATAGGAGCACAGAAGATCTGCAGGTAACTTGGTCAAAAGCTGAGGGGGATGTTGATAAATATGAGATTCAGCTCCTCTTCAATGATATGAAGATCTTCCCACCCATTTTCCTTGGGAACACCATTGAGGAGTATTGGTTCACAGCTCTGACTCCAGGGCGTCTATACAAAATTCTTGTCTTGACCATCAGTGGAGATGCACAACGTGCTACTTTCATAGAAGGCCTAACAAGTAAGACATAATGTGGTATTTCAAATGTGTTGAGGCTTCTCTAGAGGAAAGAATGAGGCACAGAAAACCAAGGGTGAACCATGATCTTATTTGAGCTCCTGTAACACTGGCACAAAGACAGGAGATCTCCTTGGAAATCACACTAGTACTTCAGCCAGATTGGTCTGTGCTTAATAAACAAATGTCACAGTTACCAATATTTGGTATTTATTGGCAAATAATTATTTGTTGCATAGGAATGGTATTGAGATGTCAGTATTTGGGTTTCTGTTATTCCCATGCATGCCAGTTGTTTGCTTAGTATCTCTAGCTAAATCACTTTTAGGCTATTTTACACCTCTGTTTACCCACCTGAAGTGAATGAGTGAGATTATAACTGTAAAACGTCTAACTAAGTGTACATAAAGAGCTCTGATTTTCTGAGATGTTTCTAGAGCATCATTTGGATAAGAGGGAGATTACTCAGATAACATAGAAACTTTTTTCTGTTTAACTTTATTTTCTTTACTTTTGTTCCTGTAAACATGTAGAATTGCTTTTCTGAAATGGCAGACCTACACAAATGTCTTCAGCTTTACTTTTGTTTACTCATGAGTGAAATTACTTATACTTGTAAATGCTTTTTGTCCTTTGACTCATTTGCTGTGGCCATAAAAAAGTAGAAATTAACAAGTCTGAAGCAAACAGGAAATCTGTGAGCAGGTGTCTTTGTGTTCCCTTTTTTTCCCAGTTCCAAGTGTGGTCAGAAACATTCACGTATCACCTAATGGCATGACAAACAGCCTGAAAGTGAGCTGGACCCCTGGAGGTGGAGATGTTGATTCCTACACCGTGACTATATTTCAGCAAAACCATCAGCTTGATTCCCAGAGTGTCTCCAAACACGTCTCTGAGCACATGTTTCACAAGCTGGAAGCTGGGGAGCAGTACCGGGTGGTGGTGCAATCTAACAGTGGCACCTTGCACAACAGCTTAGCAGCTTTTGGGAGAACAAGTACGTTTCTTTTGAGACACGGAGCAAGTTGCATTATGTCTTCCCAGAAGCTGACCCTTATTTAATAAAGTTTATGAACGTACCGTTGGGTATGGGGACACCCAGACCCATGAGAATTTTTTATCTCACAGCGTGAGTCCTCACTCTTGCAAACGCTTAGGCATGGCTCTGTTAATTAGTCCCAGTGAGATCTATCACATGAGTAGCTTTACCTGGGTGAGTATGTGTGGATTTCAAGTCCCCATCCCAAAGTGTGCCTTCACAGGATGAATGCAGTTCCATCCGTCCCCGAGCCTGTGCCTGTACCCATCCAACACATACATCTGCAGGGCTCCATGTAGTCAAATTCTGTGTTCTAGCAGAGCCCGTTGCATGGTCAAGGCTTGTCAGGCAGCGTATTGCCCCAATGTACTTGCATGTCAGAACACACAAAACAGTGGAATACCTTGTTTTTAATCCATCCTCTCTCTTTAGCACCTGCATGTGTTTGCTGTGGCCTTGACTTTTCTGCAACAGCTGCTGGCTAACATTTTCTATTCTGTGACACTGTTTTGCACCAGTTTACCACTGCTTTATTTTTCAGTTCTTTTTCACGTGTCTTCTTAACTGTTTTGGTCAATTCATCTCGCTCTTCTTCTTCTTTTCGTGATGATAATTTATGTATATCTCTTGCTTCTCCATGCCCAGTTCACATGTCCATGATGCTCTGTAACTTCATCTGACTGTATTTGTGCCTAGTAATTAATTGCTTGTGCAAACACATGCACTGATACCCCTTTGCCCACAAGTGAACATGCAAATATATAAAGATATTCTCTATTAATTACTCTGTTCACAGTTGTGTAGCGAATGGTCCATATTTCACCTGGTAATATCCTGCCTTTAATTGTTGCTTCCAGTTCCAGCCTCTGTCCAGGAATTATTTGCCCATCATGCTTACAGCAGTCATTCCTTGTTAGTAACCTGGCAGAAAGCTCCCGGTGTAGCTGAGAGATATGACATTCTGCTCTTGAATGAGCAAGGAATCCTCCTGAGCAACAAATCAGAGCCAGCTACTGCCAAACAACACAAATTTGAAGATTTATTAGCTGGCAAGAAGTATAAAATACAAGTTGTGACAGTCAGTGGCGGGCTCTTCAGTAAACGAGCAGAAACTGTTGGCCGAACAGGTAATTAGAACATCTCGGTTTATTTATAGTTCCCTTGGTCAGATATCATTAAATACATGAATCATCTGTATGTCTTGCTTCTGGAAAGATTCTAGTAGTAGACTCCAGATATTTAGACATCATTTTTCCTGATATGTGCTTGGTATGTGAATCTGAAATTCGTTAGCATAATAATGTGGCCATGGTTCATAATAAGGATACTAAACTGAGGTGCTGAATGCTTCCCTCAGTCTGTCTGTTGCGGATCTACCTGAATGCTTTACTGTCATCAGGTTTTTAATTCACAGTCTCAAGGCTCTTAGTGCAGTATTTGATGTGAATGCACACCTCTAAACTTAGAGCCAAGTCTTGTGGTCTTTACTCAATTAAAGCTTCTTGTAGAAACTAATGGACAGTTCTGTATGAGCACAGGCTGGAGAACCAGGCCTGCTGGGAAATACAAACACTGTATTGGAGAGGCTTGGCGGCACCTCATAAATGCTTTTACCTTACTTCTGAAAGTTGCTGTTGACTGACTTAGCTACTTGTGGCTTAACTGAAATGTATTCCAGCCATGAGTTGTTACTTCATTAAAGGTTCAGCGTAGTGGCTAGACACTTTGATATTTAGTCTTGCATTTATCCTTTTCAGTTCCAGCAGCTGTCACAAATCTGAAGGTCACAGAGAACACCACTGACCGACTGTCCTTCAGCTGGACCACCTCTCAAGGGGAGCTTGATTCATATGACATCTTCCTATACAACCCAGACAAATCCCTTCATGACAGGATTTCAGGAGAGCAGCATCTCCAGGAGTGTTCATTCCAGAACCTGCAGCAAGGCAGGATGTATCGAATGGTGATTGTTACCCACAGTGGAGACCTCACTAACGAGTCATCTATCTTTGGAAGAACAGGCAAGGACTTCCAAGAAAACTGTCTGTTTCCAGTGTAGTGCTCATGGGGGACACCAGGAGACTGGTCTGAGTCTGATGCTCATCCTAAATTAGAGCAACTATTAGAAATATCAAAATTGGCTCTTCTACATGAAAAGCATTAGACAAATAAGAAGATAAATTCTGAATGGTGTGATTACAAGAGGGAAAATGAAGCAAAGACCTTTACAATAGTTCCCACGTACTTGGGTCAGGAGAAGGACATCCCAATATATGCTGCTTGAGCCTTAAAGGAAAACTTGCTGTCTCCCATACTAAAAGCAGTATGGGTCTATGAGTGGAAAAGACAAAAAGGCAAAGCACCCAAGGTTCATGGGGCAGACAATCTACCAGTGAAATCAAACTTGTTTCCCATGGGGAGCTCTGCCTCTATGTTTGTTCAGCCACACGTGGGAAGTTCTAGCAGCCTTGACACTCTGTGAAACCTTTCTTTTATCCTCTGAGGCACCATATAGTAACCCCTCTGTAAGACTGCCTCTGGACAGCGGTGCACTTTTCAGTTACCTCAGAATTGGATGTTTCCAAACACTGACTGGGAAAAAGCTGCTTAATATTTGCAAAACTATTATAAGCATTTCAGCCTCTTATGGGGACAGTGGCAGTTCAAAATAAGAAAGGAAACCATTGAGATATACTTCCTGATGCTTCTTGGCTTTTTTGGTCAGCTGTGGTGGCTGTGTAGCTTATGACATGGCTGTCATTACAGGAGAAGTTTTAAGATTGGCTTGACCTTGTTGCTTCTCCTCACCCCAAGGATGTTCTACGTAAAGTAATATTCATCCCATTTTTTTCAGTACCAGCCCCAGTTGTTGGTCTCAAAGCATCCAACGAAAACATGACAGACAGTCTGTGGTTCACCTGGGGTCCTGCAGCAGGAGATGTTGACTTTTACGAGCTGAATCTTTACAACCCAAATGGGACACAGAAAGAAACCTGGCACAGGAAAGACCTGAAAGAGTGGCATTTCCAGGGTCTTGTTCCTGGCAGAAAGTACACTCTGGTTGTGGTGACTCACAGTGGTGACCTGACCAACACAGCAAACGCTGAAGGAAGAACAGGTAACCTTTGGGATTTTTGTTTAGTCCCATTTGTCATAACTCATGTCAGTTCACAACTATGCAACAGACTTATTCTGAGGGAGAATTTATTATAAGAGTCGCTGAAGGTGTAAAGATAAAGGATATGCTTAAGAGTATTAAACCAATGGAGTGTGATTTTGTTCAGCACTGTTTTTCTTTCAAAGGCTCAGGAATATGTAATGTCTGAAAGTTGCCATCATCAGCACAGATGCAGTAACTGGCTGTGTATATGGGATAATATAAACCACTGTGATGCATGAAGAAAATAATGCGTGTTTCATCTTATTTGCTTGTGTAAAAATTTGTTGAGAATCTCTTTTTTTTTTTTTTTTTCCTTTTCCCCCTTTCTGTGTAGCTCCCAGCCCTCCTAACACTGTATCGTTTACTGATGTTGCAAACACTTCTTTATCAATCACTTGGCTGGGTCCTCCAGACTGGACAGACTATGACGATTTTGAGTTGCAGTGGTTTCCAAAGGATCCCCTCACAGTATTCAATCCCTACAGCAGCAGCAGATCTAAAGTACGCATCATCTATGGGCTGCGACCAGGAAGACTCTATGAGTTTAGTGTCAGGACTGTCAGTGGCGACAGCTGGAAGACATACAGTCAGTCACAATCTGCAAGTGTGAGAACAAGTAAGTGACAATTTCCGTTGCACCCTAACACTCAGCTGGAGAAGATGCAAAACTATTAAATCTTGCCAATTCCTTTCACAGTCAGTAATTTCCATTAATAAATTCCTGAATGACGGCAATGAATTCAGCTAGATTCTAAGCCCTTGCTGTGTGCAAGGTCAACTGCTCAAAGATTGAAAATGGATATAGATTTACAATCTTCACATCCAGATGGGACTGTTTGGTTGCATCAATCAATCAGTTTCAGGAGTAATATAAGGCTGAATATCCAAACTTCTCTCACAGTAGATATTGAAATAATCAAAATGTTTTTGAACAATCAGACAGAAACTGCTGTACTAGATTTGAAACTGGAATCACAGCATTTCACTGCTCTGCATTTCTGTCCATGTCCGTGGATCCACATCATCTCTAGCTGTCTCTAGCAACCTCAGTAGCAGGCTGACTTGAGAAAGTGACCTGGAATTGTAAAATAACTGAGCTTTGGCAAACCCTCCTGTCACTTGGGTGGGATTCAGCTCCAAACTGACATCTATGTTTAGTAAGCTGAATAGCTCTTTAAACTTCGTTCAGCGTATTAATTAAAATGAGAGCATAGCTACCTCTTTTACCTGTGTTTAATCACTTAAGTGTAGATGTCGCACGTTATAAATGGTGCTCCAATATTACATGGATAAAGCATACTTCTGTGGTATGTCTTAGTAATATGGACACACCACATGCTACCAGGAAACCAGATCAGTCCTGAGATGACAGTACTAGTATTGACTGATATGTTGATGACATGTAACCTCCAAATAAGTTGTAACAAAGTTCTAGAAATCATTGCTTTGAAGTCTTGCTGTTCTTGTTAGGAATTCATCAAGTATTTTTGTTTGCTTGTTTCCACAATTAATTACTGAAGCTTCACAGACCTGATGAGGCTGATGCCACTAGATCCAATTTCAGATGGCTAAAATGAGTTAGACAGCCTTGCCTAATAATCAAGCAGCTCATATTTGCAGGAGAGATGGGAATTGTGTCTCCCAGCCTCCTGCTCTGATCAAACGGTTGATGCAGAATCTAGGTCCTGTAGAGTGAGTAGAGAGTGTATGATGCTTGTCCCTTTTCCCACTGAGCTTCAATTTTTCAACATTCCTCTAGAACCAGACAAGATACAAAGTCTTCATTGTCGGCCCCAGAACTCTACTGCCATTGCGTGTTCCTGGACTCCTCCTGATTCTGACTTTGATGGGTATAGCGTCGAATGCAAAAAAATGGACACTCGTGAAGTGGAATTTTCTAAAAGGATAGAAAAAGACAAATCTCTGCTTAATATCATGACCCTCGTTCCCCACAAGCGTTACCTGGTGTCCATCAAGGTGCATTCTGCAGACATGACGAGTGAAGTAGTTGAAGACAGCACCATCACAATGATCGACCGTAAGTGGAATTCAAGAGCTGCCGTGAAGGGAGGCAGCGAGCAGCGATAAGCAATTGCTTGTGTTGGTTAGGCAGCAAAAGGAGTTCTGAACTCCACAATTGCCAATGTGTGGCGCTCGTAGTCTGGTGGCCAAAATAGAGGGAACCTGTCCTTTGGTCTCTGTTGTGACAGCCAGTGCAGGATTTTAACTATATTGCCTCTCATTACATTGCCACACCTGGCTCATTCACAAAATACAGCCTGAGAAACACAAAAAATTATCCTGTCACTCTGATGTTCAGCACCAAAGATGTCCTCATTATCACACACCTTTAATTGTCTTCATGATTGCTGTTTAGCTTCCTGTGCCTGGCTGGTTCCCCTCAGCACAAATATCCATCGGTAAGGACATCGGATCGTGGCACTGGGTCCTCTTTGGGCTCTCTGTACACTTTTCTGAGGTGCTACCTGACCAAATCACCTGTAGGAGTGTCGCCTTAAGAGTGAGGATGTGATGTTTGCCTGTCAGAGTCCTCTCAGGAACTTTTACTGAAGCAGTTTTGCAAAGCCACATGTTAGAGTCAACGTTTCCTAGATAATTAAGCAAAAGTTTCACTCCAGGGCAGCATAGCCTTCAGAGTTTTGTGCTGAAACAGTTTTTCTGCACTCTTTAGCCAAAACAGAGCTGTCTTGCCTCTGCAAGGCTCCCTCTTTCGGCTATTATCTCCCCTCACAAGGTTTCCAGAAGGGAGAAGCAGATACCAGCACTCTTATCCTTTTGCTGTTTTTTGCCAGATGAGTAAGTCGCTCAGCTCTCGTCCTTGCTCTGTCCAGGGCATAATGACCTTACAAGCCCAGCATTTCTCCACAAGGAGTTATACCTGAGGGATGATCACAGATTTCCATAGCATATGCTTTGAAACAGCTTCTTCAATTTCTCCACCTATAGGCTGCTGAGTGGAGTGTAGTGGTAGCATCTGCTGGTGCCTCTGCACTGCCAGGCATCACCATGGTCAACGGCCTGCCATTGCTGGCCCTAGAGCATCTCCAATTTTTGCAGTACCTCTGAATTCAATGGGACAGCACAATGCAGAGGCCTGAACTACACCAGGGCTAAAATTCTCAAAAATGACTGGATGGCTGGGAGGCCTATATTCAGGGATGCTTCTACAGCTGCTTTTTGAAAGCCACATTTCTGTGAAATGCTAGATCATAAAAATTAGGTTTGGTTTGGGAGCTAGTGAGCTAAGCTACAGAGTTCAGTCACCAATCCACCTTCTCCCTTCTCCCATCAATTGCCTTTTAATTGCAACCATGTCACCTTCTTCCTCTGCCACAAAGGATGCTGCAAATTCAGATGCTGTACAAACTAGCTACTCATATCACAGGAAGTGAGACCGAGTCCTGTTTGAAGGTTAGCAGTTTCCTGTTCATTTATTTGGTTTGAACACTGCTGCTCTCCCGGACTCTGATTAACACTGGAGGCCCTACCTCAAGGGAACACAAAAAATTGCACTAGGCTTTGTGGATCTAAGAGATTTAGCTAAACAACGTATAAATGTGTGAATTACTGGTTCTTTTTGCAATCTAAACCATTTTGAAATTTAGCCACCTGCTTACATATTTGATGCATTTCCCATACATGCAATATAATTTCAGTAATACAGATTTTTGAAAGATTCAGCAATATAGATGCTTAAAATCCCTACTTTTGCTGTGCTGGTCCTCTGAAGGTTTTCCCCTATGTACTTCGCTTTCCAGTTTACTTCTGCTGTGTCACTGTTCGAGGTATAGCTTTCTATCATACAAAGAATATTTCCTATGGAAATTTTGCAGTCAGTCTGGAAAATGGTACTCTATAGTTGAATACTGTGTCTGGCTGACTCAGGGCTGTTCTCTGGAAAAGGAAGCAGAAATTTAGATGCTTAAAATAGGTAACTTCCTGTAGTGAGTGTACTAAGCGGCCTCCAAATACCTGGCTTAAACCTGTGTCATTTTTAGCAAGTTACGACTTCTGGTTTCATAGATTTAGCAAGACGTTAATACATTTCCATGTGGGCTTCTGCAAGAATTCCTACTGAGGAGCTGCCACTGTTACATAGTTAACTCACTGCTGGCTTGTTTCATCCTTTGGCAGTTTCCCTGTGGGAGGTGAAGACACTTTCTTGGTTGCAAAGAGAATAGAAACAGAGGCTTGGGTCCAGTCTCTGGACAATATTATAAATTGCATTTCCCTTACTAGGTCTGGCTCACAGCAGATACATTGATAATGCTTTCTCTCTTTTTTTCTTTTTCTTTTTTTTTTTCTTTTTTAATTACTTAGGTCCCCCTCAGCCACCTCCAGACATACGAGTGAACAAAAAAGAGGTGCTGATTACCAAATCCTCCATCAACTTTACTTTTAACTGCAGCTGGTTTAGTGATACTAATGGAGCTGTAAAGTACTTTACTGTGGTTGTGAGAGAGGCTGATGGTAAGTGTCATGATTTAGTTCTGTTCTCTCTATAGCCTATAGGAGTTACGTGGGGAGGTACCACCCCTATCAGTACACAGCAAAGGAGCTTCTCATCTAATGGCTCAGTCTTTTCCTCAGAGAGTCAGTAACAACTGCAGAGCTCAGCCAGTAGTTAGCTTCTGTACTCTAGGTGTTCAGGAAATATCCACAATAGGAGACTTAAGTTGGATGCCATTGGCAGTGAACACAGAAGAAGCTGCCTTGCTGTGCACAGATCTCAAAAGGTAGTTTAAATATTAGGTGGGAACGCTAAGGCAACTCTTTTGGAGAACCTCAGTAAGCCATGCTGAGAAGGCAAAGGCAGCGTCTCCCAGGTGGTGTTTGCTTTACATGCAGCACTGTAAAAGATAACAGAAATTGCCCTTGTAGCATGCATGTAAACCTTCCTTTCTGCAGTTGACCTATATGTGACAAAACAGATGGATGTCTCGACAGTTAATACCTTGCTTTTAGAAGTGGCTTCATTTACTGGCATGCCAGGACATATTCTGTGATCCTTGAGAAAGTTTCTTAATCTCTCTGTCCATCAGCCCTTAGGAAAAAAAGCAAAGATAATATTTCCACTGTCTACTCTGTCATGTTTGTGCAGATTATAAAGCTCTTTTAGAAAGGGACTACTTATTGCCATGGCTTTGCCTACCTGAGTCTTTTACACATTGCAGGCTTCCATTCAAGGGACTCTTGTCACTTCCTGTTGCAGCTTTTCTCTCTATACAGTAGACTTGTCAGTGTGTGGATGATTTTAATTGCTTTTTGAAATAGGTGGTGGTAGGATCCAGGAATCTGGATCACAGAGATTCCCACCAACAGCACAGGAAAAAATGTCATAGCACTGAATTCGACCAGTGCATACCTATTGCAGCATTGTACCTGGAAAAGTTACACTGAGGTCTTGTGAGGAAATCTGTCTGAAGTTCCCCAGAAAAATAATAGCAAGGTTGGTACTAGAAACAAGGTACCCTAACCACTCAAGCTTTGTATTCACAAGGTAGCCCGTGAAGCCTCCAAGGAATGCTAAAAAGTTGGGTAAGAGCCCATAAACTGCATCACATTAATGGCTGAGGTATGTAAACCTTCTGTCTTTCTCTGTGTGTGATGTAGGCAGTGAAGGACCAAAGCCTGATGAGCAGCACCCATTACCTTCCTACCTGGAATACAAACACAACAACTCTATACGCATCTACCAGACAAATTATTTTGCCAGTAGATGTGCTGAAAACCCTGACAGTGACTATAAAAGCTTTGACATTAAGCTTGGAGGAGAAATGGAAAATCTGGGAGGAAGGTGTGATCCAGATCAGCAGAAATTCTGTGATGGACCTCTAAAGCCTCGGACTGCTTACAGGTTAGATTTATGTTGGTAGTTGTGCTCTGTCACATTATTAGGCATGGTGCTGTCTGGATGCCCGATACACTTGAACTTCTGTAGATTAATAACTGGGTTGTACGATGTTCTTCACGTTTCAATGTGAATTTGTAGAAGCTCTATCCATGCACCCATTCCATAGGTATGAACCAGTCCTTCACTAGCGTGGGAATGGTATGATTAATTATGCATACAAGTCTGTGCAGTGGATAGGTTTACTTACTTCCCTCAACTTGATGTGGAGCTCTCCTATAGCTGCTAATCTTTCTTTGGAAAGACTTAAGACTATCAGCTAAGTCAGAAGAGTACTTAACAGGAGAAGGCAAGAATGCTGCACTCAGTCTGTTTGGCACCACTACCCCACACCAGTCCTTTGGAACAAGCCAGAAAAACCTGGAGGTTATTCTAACCTGTGTTACCATCCCCAGGCTCCAGAGCTAGGCCCAAGTTAGCAGTAGGGCGTAGCAGAGGGCAGCTGCCAAGACCAGGCTTAGCAGTTACGCAGGTTGTGAGACCAAACATGAGCTCCTGTGCAGCTCAGTCACACCCCTCCCACAGGCAAACACTCTCCCAAGAGGTCTGCAAGCTGCTCACTGGACAGCCACATGGACAGAAGGCACGTGCAAGGCAGTGCACATTATGCCTCTCAGCTTCTTCATCCTCATCATCATCAAGACAGTGCTACCCTACCACAGTCTGCTCTCATTAGGGCACATTTCCCAAAAATTCAGTCTGGGAAATAGCCATGTTACCGGGAGAACCAAGAGAACTGTAACACTTCTCCATTAGCACAGCCCCACAGCCGTGTGAAGGGAAAACATGTCGCCACTGAGAAGCTTTTCTGAGTCCTCTCCCCACAGCAGCTTCTGCTAGTCCTGCCTTCAGGCACGGTCAGGCTGTGTGTGCCAGCAGCCCCATCTGTTACCCCTGCCAGGGTACCCCGGAGCCCTCCACCTGCACTAGCTGGGCTCTCCCAGTTGCAGTATTTAACTCAGGTGCCTGCGTTAAGAACTGTCTGTGGTCAGTGGAAAGGTTTTAGTTATCTCTAAGAGGCAAATGAATTCTTACCTTTCTGTTGTTGGTTCTGAACATCTGGTGAGCTCTAACTGTAATGGTACTGGTTTTTTTAGGATCAGCATACGGGCTTTTACCCAGCTCTTCAGTGAAGACCCAAAGGAACTCCCTAAACCACTCTTTGCAGACACCTTCTTCTCTTTACCAATCACTACAGAGGCAGGTTAGTTTCAGGCTTGTTATTCAGTGACTGTAGTATGTGATTTTATGTTGTGCCTTAGAACACTCTAGAACTATTTAGAACTATTTGCAAGGAGTGGAACAAAATCAGATTGTTGTGCATGTCCTGAAGGCTGCTCTGAAATGAGGCTGGAGCCATGGCTATCAGGTCTTAGTTTGGAAAAAGCACTGCTTGATGGAGCTGCTGACAGTAGGGGAAAGGGTGAAACCTTCAAAGTGCAAGAGAATCAAACTCCCATATAATGGAACTGTGCTTTTTTTTTTTACTGTGATTGGTAGTGAAAGATTTTGTGTAATGTTTGGAAAGAATAAGGGCAGAAAATGAAGGCCAGGTTTTATCTAAGTGTTTAAATGCCTTACATTTCCGTGTATTTAACCATTTTCTTTAGCTGATAATAACATATCTGCTGGGAGTTATTGATTCTTTGATTCTTCATGTCTTTTCCTCAAGATACATAAATACACTGTTTTGTTTCTAGAGCCTCTGTTTGGAGTTATTGAAGGTGTGAGTGCTGGCTTGTTTCTGATTGTGATGTTAGTGGCTGTTACTGCTTTATTTGTCTGCAGACAAAAAGTTAGGTAAGTTGAGTCTCTGTTATTGAAGTCAGGTCGTATCATATTAATTTAAGCAGTACAATATTTAAAGCATAACTGTAAAATTGGAGGACTGCACTGAACTATTCAACAGATAAAATCTATGTACCCCAACATCTTTACACACCAAGTATAGAACTAGTGACTTACATATTAAGAGATCTATATATTTTTGATTCAAACCCTTACTGACGTTAGTCAGAATTATCTCATAGAGGATTCTTGTAACTTCTGGTTGTCAGTAGGAGTCTGAATATTTCTGAAAAACTGGTTTATCATTCAAACTGAATGTCTTTTGTCAAAAATGAAATGTTCCAAATTAATTTCAGCTGCATTGTAGATGGCAAGCTCTTGAAACTGTTCATTTAAACTTTTATCATTTCACTTCAAAAATCTTAAGGTGTGTCGTTACCTCAGCGTCCAAAAGATTAATTCAAACTTTATTTCTCTTTATCTTTTTGTAATTATAGTTGTATATTTCACCTTATAGATGAATCTTAAATAGTGAATTTTAAATGTTTTTTAAAAGTTAAATGCTGTATCTCAACTTTGAAAAAAGCTTTATCCATTTAAGCCATTTTTCATGACTGAAAGACATATGACATTATTAATGTGAAATTTCTTGTGGCTTCTGAAATAAAAATAATTCAACATTTCCATAACATGGCAAACTCTGAAAATCTGAAATTCAGTTCTTTCACTGGTACAGGGTTAGATCTATTTTGTTTTGAATTTGCTTTTCAGATGCCAGAATTTTACATTGAAAAAAACCTGCTTTCTGACTAGTTGTAGCTTTTAGCCAGAATGGATTTACCCTTTAGCAATGCTATTCTTAGGCTCTATAAGCAAATTCAGTGTATGTCATCCAAAAAAAAAGAGGCATAAATCATTAGCAATAGTAAATAAAGTCTGCTTTTGCATGTATAGACTTGTGCACTCCTGACCATCTCGGTACATAGTGACGTACAGAGTATGAATAGAGTGCAGATTGCTGTGTTTTCCACCTTTCCTATCTCATTACATGTTTGTAGTGTATATAAATTTCAGATAGAGTGTGGTTTCTTGTAGTAAGTTATATGGCCAGCAGGACTGCAAGAATACCAGTATGGTTTTCCCTCATCATACAAACAGAGGAAGTGTTCTCCAAGGGAGGTGTGTTGAAGGAGGAGATGGTGGTGAAAGGATGAAAGGCAATGCCAAGCATATGGAGTCAGTACCACTTCTGTGGCTTTCCCAAAGCTTGCTGTCGTGCTGCCACTTACTCCAGCTATGAACCTAGGCATCTCCTTGAGGCCTGGTCTGCAGAGTGGATATGCTGGAAGCTGTAGACCTTGTACAGCTCTGAAAATCTAGCTACATGTTCCTCTCTGCATGTAGAGAGAATCAACTGATTTAGGGCGCAGCTTAGCATAGGACACCCTCCTTAATTATAGTCTGGGCTGTGAGTGTTTCAGAGCAAGAAAAAAGGCTAATTGCCTGTGCACATGCATACACTCCACAACAGTGTTACCAAACTAAAATACAAGAAAGCTCTGTGCCACAGCTAAGAGCAGTGTCACTCAATCAGAGCCACAAATCAAAACAGACTTTCTAAAATTCCTTTTTTTCCAACTTACCAACTTTTTTCCAATTAAGTTCTGTTATTGGCAGCTCTTACCAGTATCAGAACATAACAGTAAAACAGAGTACTTTCCTTCTTATTTCAGCAATGGCCACGAGAGACCTACAGCAAGGCTGAGCATTCGCAGGGACAGGCCACTGTCAGTCCATCTGAACTTGGGGCAAAAAGGGTAACATGAAAAATTTAGTCTCTAAGAGCCATATTTTAACATGGCTTCGTGTATGAACAGCCCCATCTGATCACTTACTGATGAAGTGTTTCTTTTTCTTTTGAAATCATTTCTAGGAACCGGAAAACTTCCAGGTAAAAAGAAAAAAATTAATACCTAAAAAAGCTTCTTGATAACCAACTGGATAAATTATGACTGTGATTCATCCTGTGATTTTCTTCCTCCTGTTGAATATTTTAGTCCCATCAAAGTCAGCCATTTTGAAGCACACTTCACCAAACTTCAAGCAGACTCCAACTACCTCCTGTCCAAGGAGTATGAGGTGGGATCACAACCTAGGCAAAGAACTTGCTTTGTGAAGGGGCGGGATGGTTGAATCAATGGGTTAATGCATCAGAAAGGCCTGCATTTGTTTGTCATATTCACACGAGTCCAAGTAAGTTTGAGAGTCTCACCTGAACTCCACTTGTCCTAGTGAAGAAACCAGCTCTTCATTTGGCATAGCATCTTCTGGTTGGAAGCCTCTGCCTCATACTTGTCTGGCTGAGGTCAGGAGCATTCATTTGTGAGGCACACCTGTGTGATAAAGCATGGAAAGCACCTGCCAGCCATGTGCTTGCTTTAAACCAGTATAATTTCAGGGTTTTTTTTTAAAAAAAAACACCCATTCTCTGTAGAGCTGATAAGCACTACATCCCCCTGTGTTGTCATGTCCTTAATTATTTTCACCTCACATTTTATTCCTACATTTTTTTGCAGGACTTGAAAGATGTGGGTCGAAACCAGACATGTGACATAGCACTTCTGCCAGAGAACAGAGGGAAAAATCGATACAATAATATATTGCCCTGTGAGTTTTAGGTTTGGTTGCGTAATATTACGTCACACCAGCTATTTTTCACTTTTTTTTCAGCAAGCCTAGTGGAAAAGAGAGTGCAGCCAATCCCTTCTCTCCTTCCTGTCAGAGATGAAATACCTCTGCCAGCTCAGGTTCTGGTACTTGGAGGCAGATGATGTATGGCCCTGAATGGCTTCACACAGACCAGTGATTTCGTTTCACACTAGAGGTGTAATGACTAGCATTCAGTCTAGAGAGAAAAAGCTCCAGCTGTTAGAGCATTCAGTCACTGCGGATGACAAGGATAGTAGAAATAGCAGTAGGGTTGTTTACATACAGGGTATCATCCATTCAGTGCTTTTTCACAGCCGTGCCAAATCTTTCTTCTTCAGAGGACACAGTAAACCTACTATGGAACGTAGAGCTAGTGTGGATCTGCATGGTAAGACACAGGAGGTTAGCCCTGTTCTCCTGAGGCAAGACCTGTCATTGAGAGTTTCCCCGTTTAATCTCCTCTCTGGCAGTTTTGGAGGTAACACATGCTGTGCATTGAGGAGGAACGCCATGTGACTCGCTGCTCCACATGCCGCCCTGCTGCTGGGTGTGGTATGTGCTTGGACCACAGCCTCACAGCATCTCCTGTGTTCTGCCTGCCATGCCGGGCTGGGGAGCATGCTGGTGATGTACAAGAAAAAACACTTGACTGAGGTCCAACGTGGCATTATCTCATGAAACTGGTGGCTTAGGCACTCTCTGCCTCTCTGCAGAGGGTTCTCTACCTAGGGAAGATGGCTGGCCTGTTCACCCATGTTAGCTCAGTAGCTGTGCAGACCACTGAAGCTCTTTCATGGTCAGCACTGGGCACTGCTCTCCAGTGCAGCACACTGCTGGCAGGATCAAATGACAATGCTGTTGTGGCTCGTTCGTTGCCATAACAAGTCCTATGCAACTCAGCAGAGGAATTTTGGGATAGTCGTTGCTTCCTTCTCACCCATCCATCTCCTAGTCTTTGGAACACACTTGTGGATGAAAGAGGCAGTACAAATATAAACAGTTATCCCTCTAAATTATCCCTCCGTATAAAATCCTTGTAATAATGCTGCCAGTCCTCTCACAAATGCATTTCTGTAAATGGGAGAGAGACTGAAAATCAAGACCTAGCCGTAAGCCTCTTGTAATCAATTTCTTCCTAGATGATACATCAAGAGTGAAGCTTTCCAACGTGGATGATGACCCTTGCTCAGACTACATTAATGCAAGCTACATACCAGTAAGTGACTCAAGGATGGTTTTTTACAGTCCTCCCTCCAGTGGTAATTTGTCCTTCATCTAAAACTGAATATGCTTAAGGCTCCCCTCCCCCTTCATTTATTCACTTGAGCTAAAAGTCTGAGAACTCATTTTGAGGGTGTGCTGAAAGGCTATGTCTGACTGCCATTAAGTTAACTGTGAGTGATTTATCCAGCACTTAAGGACACTTTCTTGGATTGCTATAGTTGTGTAAGATAGCAGGTCTAATTGGCCAAGGACACGTTTTTAAAGGTCACTGATTTTATACAGCGTCCACAATAACTGTGGCTATCACTGCAGGTGGCATCCTCATTGTGGAGCTGTAGCTCATCCTGACAGTGTTGGCACCTTGCAGGATGGTGAAACTGCCTGAGATTAAAATAATGCCCTTTGCCAAAGAGTTGTGATTGATAATAGCAGTGGCTTTAGCAATCCAGATTTCAAGCCAGAACTCAGCTAATTTATTAAAAACAGTAAATAAAACAAAACCCCCTAGTAGTTCCAAAATTGCTTGAGACTGTGCTGAACACAATAGAACAATGAAAAGCTTTGACTGCCACAAAAGGAACAGTATTTAGATACACTGCTGCAGTCTCTTCCTTCTGTCTGCTCCAACCAGCCTTCTGCTTCCAGGTCCAAGGCATCAATTTAGCTCTCAAAACTATTGTCCCAGCAAGGGCATTGTTGCTGCAGAGCCCTGGCTGCAACTCCATGTCTTGTTCACTTGCTAGAAGATCTGTTTTTCTGCCTTTATGGAAACTAATGGAGTTCTCTTTACTTGCAGGGCAATAATTTCCGTAGGGAGTACATAGCAACTCAGGGCCCTTTGCCTGGCACCAAAGATGAGTTCTGGAAGATGGTATGGGAGCAAAATGTTCACAATATTGTCATGGTAACCCAGTGTGTTGAGAAAGGCCGGGTGAGCAGTGTCTCTATTATTAATGACTGTTTTAACATATATTAAAAGTTTATGCTTATTATTTGCATCACACTAATGCTGAAGGCCCCAGACAAGGAGATAGATAGTAAGAGATGGGAGGTATAATCTAGGGACTGGAGACAGATTAAGGCTGTGAAGTGAGGATGCAGTGACCATCCCAAGATCATGTGGCATGTCAAGGCTGGAGTTAGGAACAGGACTCAGTGCTTCTGGCCTCTAATCCAGGACTTTGCCCGCTAGTACTCATATAATTCCCCTTATGCATGCAGAAGGACAGCCACCAGAAAAAAATGACTGTTTATCACATCAACTCCAATCAACTACTGCTATAAATATAAGCTCTGGAGAGCAAATGTTGATCATTAAAATACATGAAGTTCTTTCTGATGCATAAGCCCTGATGTAGTAAGCAAAGAGACCACTCAGGTAGTTAACAGTCTTATTGAATGCAAGTGTAGGTAGGTTATTTAGCTGTCTCAGCAGTCCACCTCCCCAAGTATGAGCACATCCTGTACCCTTTGTAAGACAGGGACTAGATCTGTAAAAAGACTAACCAAACTTGAAGTAGTGGGCATCTAGTGGCACATATGGGGGTACTTCCTTTCGGTTCACCATTTTTTCTTGAGGAGGTGGCAAAAGCAGATGCAGGACAGGCAGCCACCTGTCTCCTGCACCTCACTGGCTCTGAGTGGAACCCCACCATCATGTCTCAGCAAGAGGTGAGGCAGCTGACACTGGAGGCCTAGCTGTCAACCAAGCAGAGCTCTGAGAAGAGTTGGCACAGAAAATGTTGTGGCATCCAGAAGAGGGCGTCAGTGAAGTACTTCCCATTACCGCCATCACAAACATCTATGATGAGAACTTCCACTTTGCAGCCCCATCTTAGCCTGTTCCCACCCCAGGCACTGTTTGTTGAGCTGACATGGCAGGGAGTCTCATCTCTGAATTCAGCTGCTGCCTTTCTTCCTTCATCCTCAGGCACAGGAGGTCTGAAGTCTGCTTCTGCTAGTGCTGGATGGAGGCATTGTTTACAGCAGTTGCTGACACTAAATCTATCTTTTTCTGTGTCCTTGCAGGTGAAGTGTGATCACTACTGGCCCCTTGACCAGGATTCCTTGTACTATGGAGACCTGATCGTTGAGATGCTGTCTGAATCGGTGCTCCCAGAATGGACAATACGAGAGTTTAAAATCTGCAGTGTACGGTTGTGTTCATCTTTTTTTTCTTTTTAAAAAAAAAAAAAAATTAACTGGGTTAAAACTGCCTGCAAGACTAAATTAGGAAGGTTTCTTCTCCTGTAGCACAGTTGCATCGTGCCCAGCTCATCTCTGGTGGCAGCTGTAGCATTTGCTCTCAAGGTGCATGTTGTGTGTGTGCCCTCCTCCCTCATCTGTTCTGATGACCCACACTTTTGTTTGTCAACAGGAAGAGCAGCTTGACTCAACGAGGCTCATTCGTCACTTCCATTACACTGTCTGGCCAGACCATGGCGTGCCAGAGACCACCCAGTCCCTGATCCAGTTTGTCAGAACTGTAAGGGATTATGTCAACAGGACACCAGACACAGGACCAACTATTGTGCACTGCAGGTATGGGCAGCAGCAAAAGGTCAGCGGCACAGAGCCTTTGTGCGTACCCTTGGGAAAATCCCAAATGTTAATTGCTGTTAGGCCATGGGCAGCCACAGGACCTGAGAGACAGGTGATGCACTTAAGTCTGCAGATACATCAGAGCAGCTTTCCCAAGGCTCATGCACTTGCTCACAACATCACCCTGGAGAAGCCCTCAGAATGATTCTCAGGGAACCACTTGTGTCTCTGCGGGACCACTGGAGAGCACTAAAGGTGTCAGCAGCTGCCACTGCTCATAAGCCTTTGCATTCTTAAATTGCCTGTGTGCTGCTGTTGTGGCCCAACATCTGAATCACAAAGGGGTGTTCTGAAAGGGTAAGATATACCCGGGGGTGAACCTGACTACATATGGATGTTGAGACTAGCTGGAAGATTCATCCTTTCCCCCGTTCTCAGACTCCCTCTCCTTACTGCCTTCTCAAGCGCTTCTGCTGTTGTGCCATCTCTGGCAGCTGTAGGGCTGCAGTTTTTCCTCTGCTTCCTGATCCACCGCTACATACATATACAAAAAAGGCAAAACTCGACAGCCTGATCCATGCTGACCAGCTGCAGCAGAATATAGAGTTACAGAGTGAGAGTGCGGTGTGGTGCTGTGTGTATCTTCTGCTACAGCTGGATGCTCACTGATACTACCTGAAAGTAGTGTCAGACCCCTCCGCCCATTATATGGGCTGAGGCATGTATCTTACATGACCCCACCTGTGTCTGCCTGTACATCATGTGCTGCAACATGTCAGATGCCTACTATATTACCGGCCTCCTGTCTCCGAACCCTACCTCCCAGCATTTCAACTACTGGGAACTCTGGGATACTTTGCCTTACTCTGCCCTTCCACAAGGCACAAGCCAACTCACCTTTTAGAATCAAGCCTGTTGGTTCATCCCTAGAGAAAAGAAGAGGTTTAAAAGTTACAGTCAGGTGCAGTCTCTCAGTGTGTCTCGATGAAATCATCGCCATGTTAATCCAAAGCAGAAAGCAGTACGGGCAGTAGCAGAGATACCACTGCCATCACTATCCTTTCCTTTTTCCTAAACAAATTCCACTATAAAGTGTTTGAAGTCCCAGAGATGCCATTTGAACCCTGGAGATCTGAACTTTACCAAAGTCTCACATGAAGATAGTGAATGCTTTGATCCATCTCCTTTTAAGTCTTTTGGGTTGTTTTCTTTTCCAGTGCTGGTGTCGGCAGGACTGGCACATTCATTGCACTGGACCGAATTCTGCAGCAGCTGGATTCAAAGGACACTGTTGACATTTACGCAGCAGTACATGATCTAAGGCTTCACCGGGTTCACATGGTTCAGACAGAGGTAAGCTTTGGATAGCCTACAATACAGCAACGCCAGCTGCAGTGTATAATAATCAGTCTCATCTTAAAACAGTTACTCCACTGTGAAATACTAGTTAGATATATTTTAGCTCTGTGAGAATTTCTAGTTCAGGGTTGTTTCCATTGGCTCTCGTACAGCGGGTCCAAACCATAACAAGTGGTAGCTGTGCTTCCCATAGATTTCTTCTATTGGCCCTGGCCCACAATCACCCCAGTAGCAGACGCTTAACAGCACCTTGTGCAGTGTCCAGTAAATGAGCTTTGAGCGGAGATAGGTCCTTCAGGGATGGGTTTGGAAGACAAGCCTAAACCAGACAGATAGGTCAACATAATAGGGAAAAGGAATGGAGGGCAGAGAAAATTAGATGTACATACTTTTAAAACTCTAAGCACTGTGACCTTGTGGCTTTGCAGTTCATTTTTTATTGAGCTGCCCTGTCATTTTCATTAATGGTACTGGAAAGTTGATCAGCATTCTGCTAACCTACTATGCAAAAGCAAGTATATTGATTCGTGAAGTGCAGAAAAAGTACGTGTTTGGGATTTCTTTCTGTGCTTTTAAAACTGCAAGAAAATCACATTACACTAATAGCAGCAAAACACTTAGGAGCTGATCTAATAAAGGCGAGTTGTGGAGGCAGTCTTTACATTTTCCCTGTGAACTGTAGTGGAGGAATCAGAACAAGTTTGATGGGTCTGCCTGTGGCTTGCTCTTTGTTGCAATTTGGAAATGAAAGCATCAGTGACAGCACTTCCTGATAGATGTGAGAGTCACACATGATTATAGAGAGAGGCTCAACTGGGAATGCAAAAGAGATTTCTTGGAACTATCTTAATCACAGAGGACCTGTTGGAGGGGAGACAGATTCTCAGCCCGGCCTGGACATCCACAGAGACAGATCCATCTCACCTTCTACGTTCCCATCAGCTGTAGTCAGCGAAGGCAGACAGGCATCTCAGGAGGGTAGCTCTTTTTCCCTAGCTGGAAAAAAGAGGCAGCTATCTCAAGAGCCTAAATTTGACACCAGGCTTATAGACAACTAAAGTTGTGTGATACAAAGCCCACCTTTGGCATCAGTTTAATGCGTCATCTGAGTCAAAAGGCAGCCAGACCCAAGTAAAATATCTACAGCAATAGTGAGGAGCACCCCACCTTCCCACTACCAGCACTACATGCACTTCTGCGCCAAACCAGCAATGGCTCCAGTATTACGCAGATCCCTGTTGTAACCAGTCCTGCCCCTGGAAGGATTCGCAATCAGCATCACAGAGACAGGTCGACAGAAAGCTTTTGTAGCTCACGCATACTTACCCCACTTGAGCTCTAACGTGCTTACAGACTGACCATGTAGCTGTGTCAGTGCAGAGCCACTGAGCTGCTGTATTCTCAGCAAGTCTTATTCATCTGAACTGTCAATTGCATCTGTATATGGTTTCTGATTTGGCACTCCCTTTCATCGAGGTAGCTTGGAGCACAAGTAATGCATCTCTCATCCTCCTGCAAGAAAATGAAGTAAATTTATCCTGGAGTTTTATGATGATTCAAAATTTGCAAAGAGCAGTGAATTATGAAAGAAAAAATAAAGGCGGTGGGGAGAGGAGGAAGAAAAGATCTGCTCCACAAACTACATTTGATGTGTATGAAGACCCTAGTTCCTGGTGTTATCATTCGTGTCTTGGCTTCCACAGCCTGTTTGGGGGTTGAGATAAAAGCTAGGTCCCCATCTGTTGATGTGGTGGAAGCCAAATCCCACTGGGGAGCACAGGCCAGCCGATAGGACTGTTTGCAATGAGATGCTCCAGCCAAAGGTCACAGCACCATCCCATTTAACATGATGCAGTTACAGTAAAACAGCAACAAAACACTACCCCTGCTTCAGACTTGGCTGAAAGCTCTTTAAGACAAAAGACTGCATCTGGAGACATGCAGGGGAGTAACAGAAAACTGTCCATCATCTCATAAGGCAGTGGGCTCAGCACAGCAGCTGTAACACAGGCAGAGAAGCTGTCCACCATTTCAGTCCTAAGTGGTCTCTGCCAAAGGAAATCTCCATGCTTTGGACAACTTTCCACTGAATTGGTGGGTGGGGTGCAGGATTCTGCTCCACAGAGACAGCAGCCATATGTGCATAACAGCAGGCATCCTCACGTTCCCAGAGCCAGACCACTGAGAAAAATGCGCAGAGCAGTAGATTAATTTCTTGTGAAAAGTAAGTTAAGAAGATGTGGGGGGAGAAGATGCATATGCTTATTGAAGAAATTACGCCTTCAGGATAAAGTAATATTAAAAAGGTACACCTTGATGTATAAAGATGCTAGGGGTAATGGGTGGACAAAAAGCTGGACATGAGCTGGCAACGTGTACTCACAGCCCACAAAGCCAACCGTATCCCTGGCTACATCAAGAGTAGTGTGGCCAACAGGTCGAGGGAGGTGATTCTGCTCCTCTACTCTGCCCTGATGAGACCCCACCTGCAGTGCTGCATTGATCTCTGGAGTCCTCAGCCCAAGAAAGACACTGACCTGTTGGAGTGAGTCCAGAGGAGGGCCACAAAAATGATCAGGGGACTGGAGCACCTCCCCTGTGAGGACAGGCTGAGAGAGTTGGGGTTGTTCAGCTTGGAGAAGAGAAGGCTCCAACGAGACCTTATAGTGGCCTTCCAGTGCCTAAAGGGAGCCTGTAAGAAAAATGGGGGCAAACTTTTTAGCAGGGCCTCTTGTGATAGGACAAGGACTAATGCTTTTAAGCTAAAAGGGGGTAGATTTAGACTGGATATAAGGAAGATATTTTTTACAGTGAGGGTGGTGAAACACTGCAACAGCCTGCCCAGAGAGGTGGTAGATGCCAAATCCCTGGAAACATTCAAGTCCAGGTTGGACGGGGCTCTCAGCACCCTGATCTAGCTAAAGATGTCCCTGCTGACTGGAGGGGGGATGGATTAGGTGACCTTTAAAGGTCACTTCCAACCCAAACTATTATATGATTCTCTGAATCTGTGATTGTAATTTTGGGGTACCATGCTACACTAATCAAAAAACAATAATGACCCATGTTATAAACCACAAAAAGTAGCAAAGCATGGGGATTTAACAATCTATTCTGTCAAGGTAGTTTGATAAGTAGTCAGTAACATGCTGACACTCCCTACTTTGGTTGTGAAAGTCATCTTAGCTCCCTTGTATGAAAGGCACTCTTCAGAAAAGACAGTCTGTCATTCGCGGCGTAGTCAGAAGCAATCTTATAACTTATATTGTATCAAAAAAATACTGCTTTTGCCAGAAAATTTGGGTTCATCAAAGTTCTATGAAATATTTATATATTGTTATAAAATTCTGGAAAATATCTCTTTTCAGAACAAAAAAATCAGGAAATCATTTGTCTCTTCTGTTACACGTTATTAATTCCATTACATGTATTTTATACCAAAGCCTTCAGAAGTAGTAGCTGTCCAACACAGCATCATGTCAAATTATGCCTTACAGTTGATAGAGCTTTCACTCATGACATGATCCGTCAAAATGTATTATGTTCATTTATGTTTTACTAGCATTTCTAAAAACAGGTGATCACAAAAGTTTACTACATTACTAGTGTGAAGAGGAGTTTAATTCTAGAAGTATATTGTCATTTTTAATACTACCCTTGATTGTGTTAGGGAGTTAGCCTGTAATGATTTTTCACAATACAGAAAATTAAACTACAAAATTTCCCAGTGACTTAAAAAAATTTCTTTTATAGTGTCAATATGTGTATCTACATCAATGTGTGCGAGATGTGTTAAGAGCCAGAAAACTTCGCAGTGAACAAGAAAATCCCTTATTTCCAATATATGAAAATGTGAATCCAGAATATCACAGAGGTAAGTGCAAGCTTGTCAAATTATAAAATGTTTCAAATGTAATAGCTCATTGGCAATGTAATTGAGGGGAAAAGTGAGCTATCCATTGCCATTGATATTTGTTCTCTTCCTGGACCTTCATTTCTTCACTCCTCTGCTCTTGTCACTCTTGCAATTGCATCTTTATTTCCTCTGTTAGTGGTCATTATAACATCTCTTGCTGCTCCTACCTTACCTTCATGCTCTCTCTGTCTCACATTTCATGATTCCTATGCTGTTGAGGGAACCAAACCCATTCCCTATCATGATGTTTGATTCCTCCTTTACCTCACCAGTGTTTACACCATCCGCTTTTAAGCACACTGGGGCCACTGGCTGGATGCGCTGGGCTCTTCTGTCGTTCACGAAGTTTGATTTCTGTCCTGAATCACCTTCATTTGCTGTTGACCATGTAGGCGGTCATAGGAGACTTCCCATCTGCCTTGACTGGACAATGTAGGTGTCCAAGGCTGTGCTTTGTCTTTCTCCCCCAACTCTCCATCCTTGTAGGCTCTTGTTCCTAGCCTGTGTCCAGTCCCTTGGCAATAGGAATTGCAGGAATAGCAAACCTGGCACTAGCACTGCCCTTCACCTCCTGTTCTCATGGCCAGAGGACCAGCCTGGAGAAGCTGTAAGCAGAAGTGACCCGTGTGTCCTGGTAGAGCTGATTCCTAAGGGCTGTAGAAGTTTTCAGAGTCAAACAGCAGGATCCTATTAGCTCCTCAAATTTGGACATTAGGAATTGAGATTGTACAATGAGAGATCAAAATAATTATCTGAATCTAGCCCATAGAAATGAGTGTTGTCATCAACAGGCGTGGAGGAGGCCGAGGACTGAAATAACCAGGGTTCCACAAGTTGGGAATGCTAGCAAAAGCAGCGGTGGGATCTGCTCTTTAGCTGTCACATCAGTCACCAGCCAGCACTGCTGCCACACAACCACCTTTCAGAGCACCATAATCAGCTGGCAAAGTTGAACGTGAAGCCACCTGGGTTATTTTGTTTTTCCTAATCTCAGTTTTCCTTGCTTTCAGATGCTGTTTATTCAAGGCACTGAGAATGTTACAGACATCTGCTTTTGTCACCACATTCGTTAACTAGGGGTTTTGTTTGCATTTTTTTTATGTATGTATTTCATGCACTAGAAAGGTGCCAGACCTTTCTGTTGAGATTGTGTATAATTTATTGGTCTGCTGTTTTTTTTAAAGATATATAATTTAAATGTAATAGATATTAATGTATATAATTGTATTTTGGCATTATGTAAATATGTATTTTTTCTATATTGTTAATATTAAGCTTCAGATAATACTATTTTTTTCTTATCACGGTTTTTATGAACTGTTCTACATAAACTATTTTAAATTGTATGGCTAACAGGACTGCTGCGTTCAGGGCAGTATTGGCATGTAACACACAGGAAAAATCCTATAAGGAAAACCTCATTTTTTTTAACTACTTCAGTGTTTGTGAGATGAAATAAGCTACTATTAAGCAAGAAAACAGTAGTCCTGTATAGGAATTACAATGCTACTCTAAACTTACTGCTTTTGATCTGACAAAAATGGGTGTAACCCATAACAAAATGGCATACCTTTTACAGAATTCATAAACAGCCGAGCAAAACAGGATCCACCTCACTAGAAGCAACTGTTTCAGTGTAATGTGACATAGTAGAAAAATATCAGACAACATACACTGCTGTGAAGTCTAGCAGACCTTCCCCCCACACCTGTTTTTAGGGGAGACAGGTCACATTCTGATTTCTTTACACTGGTTTTAGAGAGCAGAATCAGACCACAGCCTGTGTCTGTGCATTTTCACGTGCGTATAATTACAATAAGAAAGGTGTTCAAGGAAACACCTCAGACATTCGTGTTAACAGACATGTAAGAATGTGAAGTCTGGCAACTTCCATGGCTCATTAAAAACAATGCTGTACCATGACAGCTGAAATAGTAAAGCGATTATAAACGTGTTGAAATAAAGACATACAAAGGTCTATATCCCACAGTTCATACAACTGGCTTCGGCCTTAAGCCGCTTGCAGCATAGCCGCCTTGGTCCAAATGTTGGTCTCCTCCAAATGCCACTTGCTTTCACGAAGGGAAGGCATGGCCCCAGCATGTCCGCATAGAAAGACTCCTCCACTCAGGTGTTGCTTGATGTCACCACCACAAGCGCAGTTGGAATAGAAAAAGGCTCATCAGTAAACCAAGGGATGAAGGCTGGCGGGGCTGTGCTAATCATCGGATGACTCAAAGCATTTAGTGATTAGCAAGAAGTACCATTGAAGAGCACTCACCAGGTATCCGGCCCTGCCAAGCGGATTAGGTGCCTCCTCTCTCCTCTGCAAAGAGGCTTCTCATTCAAGGGGCTGAACACTCTGCTCAGCTCTTCTTTGTCTTTATAAAACACTCTTCAAACAAATAAAGGCAGTGCACAGTGTTTCTCCATCACAAAAAGAAGGAAAGACGTGATAGTTCTCCTTTCATGTGTCTACCCATACTTTACCTAGAGAAAACTTAGCCTGCCGCTGAAGACAAGTTCCACTAGAAAGACTAAATTCCACTTTTATTCTGGAGACAAATACTTCTGAAGACCTCCTGACAACCAGCCAATACATCTAAGTGCCTAACAGAGGAATTGCTGTGGCCCTGGGCCAAGACTACTGTGATTTTACCGTGACTTATTGGAGCCACACTCTCCTTGCGGTAGGAACACCTGCCTGACAGTGGCTGAAGAAATCTGCTGGGCAGCTCTGACATAATTTTCTTGAATTATTCCAAAGCAGAACCAGCAGGACTGTGCACATCCATGTCACACTGGTTTTCCTAAAGAGAAGGAAACAGCCTGATAGTCATTCCTCCTTCCTGCTCCATCTGGAGTCTTATCCTTTCTTGACTAAATATCCTCATGTGCCTAAGCAGCCACCCTTCGTGTCAGCTTTCACAGCTGCTCAGGACATGTAAGCTTGGTTAACCTTTTAGGTGCCTCTGTATGAAAATACTGCTAATTCTTCTTGTACATCGTCTTTGACCCTGCACAAACCTCAGGATTCACCACCCTTAGTGGGAACTGAAGAAGAAGGGAACTAGCATTATAGTGGAAGCCATTTTCACAGAGGAAAATCTAAGCAAAACGACAAAGAAAGTGCCAGTTTTCTGCAGGCTCCTTTTTTCTCTTGTTTCCTTTAGTAGATAGACTCTAGCTTAGGAAGCAAGGACAAACAAGGATGGCAGCTTTAGATTGATTATTGACCCTGCTAATAACAGCTGAACTTAGGGCATCATGAAAATTCCCGTTGTGTTACGTGTGCTGCATTTAGTCCTTTCTTTTTGCAGCGGTAGCTGAGGAATGAGGATCACCATGTTAGTTACCAGCAGTACAATTACACTGTGAGGACATACCAAATGTACCCTATAAATTATCTCACACTGTGTATCACTGTGTCATTTTTTATGCTGAGGGAAATGGAGCTCGCTCAATAATTTGTGATCTGAGGGCAGAAGTCTGACTGTATACTATGTATGCGTGTTGTTCGTCATTTTCAGAGAGACACATCGTTCTGCGCTTTATTTTAACACTGTTGCTCAGCTCCCTCCTCTGCACCTACAGAGTTCACAAGTGTGCACCCAGCATGATGATGTCGTAGCAGACAGCTATGTTCATCTTTTCTCTCAGCTAATAATGGACACAGTTCGTAAGCCTCTTCCTCCTCATCACTTAATAACATGACAGATGACCTTAAACACTCTGGCACAATGCTCCTGAGCAGCTTTACATCTCTGCCTAGCTAGGTCGTGCGTGAGACTGTACACACACATTATTGCTCTGGTTCTGCTTTCTAGCCAATTCTGCTCATATGAAACCAGTGTAAATCCACTGAGAACAAGTAAAAAGTATCTATGTAGCATTTTGTTAATATAAGACACCTACTTACCAGTATGATTAATTATATTTACTGTGCCTCTAAGCTGAATAACAGGACTGATGGGAAATTCTTAATGTAACAAGAATGGACTTGAAGGAGCCTGTGCACTGAACAAAGACAGCTTTTAAGGAGAAAGACATCCTCCGCTGAAGAGGGTGTTTCTCTTTTGAATGTCCACGAGTGATGTTCAGAATTCACTTCTTGTTGTTTCCCGATACTAATGTTATAAAGCATGACTAGTGTTGTTGCTGATCCATAAGCTAAGATTTGCACACTTGGAGCCCAGTCCTGTGAATCTCTGCATTGCCTACAAAGCTACCTGAGTACTTTTCGTGGAAGTCAACTGGAATGCTTGCCTGAAGAATACCGTTCCACTTCTGAAGCACTTGCAGGGTTGGGCTTTTAGGTTAATTCAAATTTTTGTATTGAACGTTATTTAATAATGAAAAAATTGTAATTAATATTTTTTTAATCTGTGCAATACAATTACAAGATCCACTACCGATTGTATAAAAAAAAAAAATATTTTGCATAGCTGGAGTTGATAAATGATATTTTTTGTTACTAATGGAACACAAAAGTGGGTGAGAGAAATAGGCATACTGTGAAGATGTCATAAAAGTGCAACTTTATACGTTTTTCTCTGCTGCTATAGTTATTTATACAGCTTATATACGTGCCTAAAATTGCCAGAAATATTATTTTATGCCTTGATATACTATGAATTTCCTTTCAGTTGTAGAACAGAGAAAAGAAAATGTGTGAGCTTTAAGTTTGTATTATATATTGTATACGGTTATTTACGCTTTGACTTTGAAAGCAATAAGTTAAATACTAGGCAGACAGGAGTACATGAGCACTTAGCTGTGCTCCTCAGCCTGGGAGCTAACACATGGGCTAGAGGGATGAGAACAACCGTCTAATCGCTGTATTAGCATCCCCTCCCAGGGCCACAGGCCGGAGAAACGTTGACATTGAGACATGCAGCCTACCGCCGCCACAGCTTCGCCACCACGGCGCCGCGTGGAGGTGCCAACGTTTGTCCAGGTTCCTTTCAGTCCTGCCGACGTGGGGTTTGCGTGAAGGAACCGCGGTATAGAATGAGCGCCGCTCCCCTGGCAGCCCCATCACAGGCGTCCGGGCTCTGGAGCTGTGAGCTCTGGGACCTGTAGTCCCAGGGGGCTGCAACTTTGAGCAGGAGATGAGGGTGCACCCCAGTGCTTAGGCTGCTCGCTGTGGACACTGTGCCCTCACTGTCCCTCTCAGGCTGCTGAAGTCAAAACTCCTGACCGGTTGGTAGCACCGCTATGGCCAAAGCAAACTGGTCTGTTATCAGAGACCTCTCGGATCAACAGCTAGTTCAGACTGGGATTTGGTTTTTAAGACTGGCAGGAAATACTGGAGACTAGGGACTAGCTAAATTTTGCAAGTACTGTGGAATTTGGGCACTTACAGTGTCATTGATGCTGGTAGGTTGTTACGCATAATGATTTGATTGTTTCTTAGTTCATTTGAAAGCTAAAGAAATACTGTAAGTAACATCAAGTAGCTAAATATATATTGCTCTGCAGCAGGGCAGTATGTTATAGTTAAAAACCCCACAATTTTAAGTGTGGCTAGTCGCAAATTCTTTGCCAGTGCCTGGAGTAAAGTGTCTGAAAAACATCTTCAGCACATATTCCATTCTAATATGCTATATAATTACTTACATTTGTGTTCCTGACAAACACTGGGTGAACACAGAATTGTGCTACTATTGTCGATTTAATTTATGCATTTCTTAGGTATATTTTTCTATTTTTTAGCTACAGTCAACAAATCGAATATATTTGAGTGTATTTTACACATTTTTATGAATAGTTCATGAATAAAACATTCATTTAAAAAAGTCACTTCCTCATCTTCTGTTTGACTGCCTTTGCATTATGGATTTTGTTGTCCTGCTGCTCAGAGAAAAGGTCGTAAGTGAGTTTGATTTCAAGTGAGATGGTCTTCAGAGAACATTAAATTCATCAGAAGCCTCAGCCTGTTGGGGGAAAGGGGGCTCTGCTGTTGCCCGCTGGCCGAATTAGTGCCCATGCGGAAAGACACCGTTGTTCCCTTCGCCTCCTCGGTTCTCTGCCCTCCTCCTTTAATAACCCAGATACTGTCTGGGTTACTCAATGGGCATT